TACTGCTGTTTTTGACCTATGTGATGTGGGTCAACTTATGAGCTCCCAGTGACCAGGGTACATCGAGGAATACTGCTGTTTTGACCTATGTGATGTGGGTCGATTGATAGGGTGAGCGTGCATGCCTGGTGATGGTGGATATCACACAAGCACAGTAAAGGAGAAGAGTAACACTGACAACTATTTATGTATCTATTGTTGATTGTTTGAGGATGGTATATATTTATACGTTATATCTTTATATGTATTGAACATATTTGTTAGCGCAGCACTATTTTTCCTTAAAGCTTGAGGCTTAGACTTCTTTTGCTGGGGCAAAAGAGTGCTTATGCCTTCAGTTACATCTTTGATAAGTTGTATTAAGAGGCGTTCATGCATGTGCAATAAACTTTTTTTGCACTGATGTTTCATAGACCAGCAATTTTCCAAAAGGGTACTTTGCATGGAGATAAAGCATAGGCTATCCATAAGCCAATCTATACAGTACACATAAACCTTAAACTGCAGAAATTTCAATAAAAAAACTTGACAATAAAGGTGTTCTTAAACCTGCCCTAGTTCACACTTAGACCTACAAGCATCCTACATGTACGCAGGTAAAAATTTTCTACTTTTAAGTTCCTGGTGATGATACTCATCTGATGAACTGCTAAGGGAAAAAAGGCTGTAATGCTCTTTTATTAGTTGCATCTTCTTCCCCAGCCAGTTACTGGACAATGTTCGCTGCCCTACTGTCAGTATAAGAAGCAAAGTAGCCCTACTTGGCACAAAGTGGAGACTCTACTTCTCTCAGTCTGACTGACTGATGTTAGAAATTACAGGAAGTTATGAAGACATCTTAAGGGACTATAGGTACTTAAAATATTTTTCATCAGCCGCCAACATATAAGGTGGTATCCCACACATATAAGGTGGTATCACAAAGTTCCGAGACTAGTTTTGTAACATGCCAACAGATGGCAACATAAGGCTGCATGCACAGTCACAGGGAGCACCAACTTTCATAAGTCAGTGTACCAAAAGGCACCGTCCTGTGTACATCGGGAGCTGTGCAACTAGTGCTATTCTTACTACGTCTGCTACTTCATCATGGACAGCAAGTTAGAATGAAGAGCAAATGTGAAATTCTGCATGAAACTGGGCAAATCTGCCACAGAGCCGTTTGACATGATTCGGCAAGTTTACAGCGATGCTGCAATGAGCCGCTTCAAGACAATGAGAAATCAGGAAGATCTTCAAACAAGCTCAACCCCTGAAAATGCCCTATTCCCAAAGATGAAGATCCAGCTCAAAGGTCGCAATTTTGACAACACTGCGGAGATCCAGCGATTTGCCCAGTTTCACACAGAATTTCACATTTGTTCTTCGTTCTAACTTGCTGTCCATGATGAAATAGTAGATGTGGTAACGCACGTAGTCAGAATAGCACTAGTTGCACGGATCCCGATGTACACAGGATGATATCTTTTGGCACACTGATCTATGAAAGTTGGTGCCTTGTGCTGTGCCGTGTGACAAAACTAGTCTCAAAACAATTTGACCCCACCTCGTATATGAATCAAGGATTTTTTTTTAAATATCTGTCCTGAATTTCAAGAGAATAGTAGTTGAATTTTCTAACATAAGTTAGCAATTTCTCTGCATACAATGTTTTGTCAAGCTTCACTAACCAATATAAGCGAAGGAAACTTCTTGATCAGGTTGATTAAACACAGCTGAAATGAGTGAGAGACTGCAATATACAAGAGATAACTACAATCCATAGTTAATTCATAGCTCAGTCAATGAAACGGATGACATGAAATCACAAGGGAAAAGTCAAAAGTGATTCATTTAGCTGTGGTGTGAACATCATATCACATCCCAGAAACCAGTATTCATCTCTATCAGCACAGTCTAACGGAATGCATTCAAGTGATTTTAGGCAGATGCTCATTTGATATATCTGTTAAAACAGTATTTGTCAGTATCAAAACCTCAATGGCAAATGTCAGCTGTGAGCTGACTGACAAGGTAAAAGATGACAAGGGAGGTTAGAATGGAGGATCACAAATGACAAAGTCTCATCCCAGGGTATGTCATGGCTCAAATGACTTTTAGAAAAAAATAATTGAAGGGACAGATTAACATGACAAGATGCTTCAGCCTGCAACAGCTCTGAGGTTCCATGTCAGCACGGTCTCTCTATAACTTCCAGATTGTTGTAAATTCAGCTGAATACTAATAGGTATCTAGTCACTTCATATGAAAATCATCAGTAAACATTACGAGATACAAATTATAAAATAAATGTATCCATTTGGTACTGCACTTTATGCGATTACTTTTGTTCAGTACATCCTACCTTATGTGCATTTGCCAAGTATTATATTTTAAAAGGCAATAAGTAAAGAAATGTGATTGCAGCTGAATGAGTAGAGGAAGCTAAGAAAAAGAAGACGACTAAGTGACTGGAAGAAGGAAATTGGAGAAAATAAGATATTTCAGGAGGATGTGCTTACACAAGAAGGGCAAGTGCTCTGGGCTGACATGCAGGACTCACCAATAAATCAAGGTACAAGGACCCAGTATAAATTAGAACATGTCAAAATCTAGGCACAATACAGCATTTAAATCACAAATACATGAATACATAATTGTACATATTTAGTGAGTTGTAGATGTTCAGCACCTTGTCCTTGGAGAGTGCACAGCTTGAAATGGGAAAGCCTGTCAACACCTTGACAAGTTGCATACGGCTTTCCACTGATATGAATGTAGCATAAGATGAGCCCATGCTAGGAAGATTAAGGGAAAGCATTGAAAGCTTTTGTTGGTTTTAAATGAGTTTTAAATTCCCATACAAGTCTATGGAAATGCAAAATGAAATTAAAGCTGGTCAAATGCAAGCCAAGTGTACCTGTCAATTAATTCTGAACAATTTCAGAAGCCTTATCAAAACTGATGTCATTGACACAAGCCCAAAGCCCATCAACACAGGCCCATCCTGTGTGCAGTTCACACAGTGGAGATCTCCCTTATAAAGACATTTTACAGACACAAAAGTAGAGGGCATAAGGCCCTGAGAAAGATTAAATGGTCTAAAAATTCATATCTTTGGGAATCGCAAACACTTTAATTGCTTGCCGCCTGACCACAGTGCAGTACTGCAGACAAGCGGCACATCCAGGCTAGGCAACATACCCAAATGTCACCACTTGGCATCCAAGTTATGGGTGTGCATTTGCGCACCCCCTGCTGACCCGTACTGTGATTGGACACAGCATGAGTTTGTCAGAAGGTTTCAGCCAATGAAACCTGCTGATCATTACAGTCCCGAGCCACAGCAAAAATGAAACCCCCCTTTCGTGTTTGGTGGGCAGTACTGCCACCAGACTTGCCCTCTTCAAGTGAATAGCACCACGCCACATCTGCCCAGTGACTTGTCCCTTCCACAGTCAAAACAGGTGGTAAGAAAACGACATATCACTTCTCAGCCATCTGTCAATTGCTCTCTGAAAGGTGATACACCACAATCACTGTGTTAAGTGTGCACATTTTCATGCATGTTTACAAGCATTTGTGTTACACTTGCAATCCATGTTTTAACCTCTTGACCTCTGAAAAATGTACCACCCCATTCATGACCAGGCCATTTTTTGCTATATGGCACTGCGTTATTTTAACTGACAATTGTGTGGTCATGCAACACTGTACATAAATAAATGATGTCATTTTTTTCCCCACAGATACAGCTCACTTTTGGTGGTATTTGATAAAAATTGGGGGTTACAAACAAAAAAATACCTACAATTTAAAAAAACAACATGCTGGAATTTTTATTTATTTATACTAGTAATGGCAGTGATCAATAACTGCGATATTGCGGCAGACAATCTGACACTAATTGGCACTTTGTGGAACCAGTGACACTAATACAGTGATCAGTGCTAAACATATACACTGTCACTGTACTAATGACACTGGCTGGGAACAGGTTAAACATCTAGAGCAATCAAATGGTTAATTGTGTGCCTAACCAGTGTGTTTATGTACATTTAGGGTCTTTTACTAAGAGATGTGCTGGACTTTATTCCCTGCTTTGCAGGGAAACAAAATCCAGTACATCCCCGCTGACAGAACAGAGCTCTGCATTGTTTACATATCCAGAGCTCCATCCAGTGTGTGTCCTTGCCAATCCATTGGCTGGCACCCACTGATTGGCTTCTGCTGTGACAAATCACAGCAGAAGCAGTGCACATGCGTATCTCCCATCCAGATGTGCAGAATCACGTAAATATACTAGATTGTAAGCTCCAAGGAGCAGGGCCCTCCTATCCCTCTTGTATTGAACTGCATTGTTGCTGTATTGATCCCCTTTATATTGTAAAGCACTGAGCAAACTGTTGGCACTATATAAATTCTGTACAATAATAATAATAATACGTGATTTTGCACAGAGTGGCCACCCTGTAGCAGTAAAACTGCTATAGGGCAGTTGGCAACCAGTTAAGAATTATTTGTGTCTTCTTATACATGCCATGCATTCAAATGCATTCCAGTATGTTTACATAAGAAAAATGCAGCATGCTGTACTCTTTTAAAAGGCACATAAAAGCACTGCAGTGGTGTAAAGCAGGCTTGCTGAAATGCATTAATTTTTCAAAAACGTGATTGACTGCTTCTGGTGTACATGTACCCTTAAAGCACAGTGTTTGTGAGAGATGACTCATATAGTTTATGTCACTCCTCTGTAATGCCACTGTAGCAGTTTATGATTTATCTTTAGTGTGAGTGGCGAGATACCTGCTGAAGGATATATTTCACGGTTTATAAATCTCTTTCTGATATATTGAGTTCTATGTACCAATGTCATTAGTAGTATGACAATAAAGACTAAAAAACTGAAATATAAAATGTGACAGAGGTGCAACATATCTCACTAGTTAATTTACGCACAAAGCCCCTACGGTCTTTATGTTTTATGTAGGACAGGTATCATATCAGTAATATCTACTTACCTCTTTCAGGATCCTTTCATTGAAGAACTGCTGCAGCTTCTCATTACAGTAGTTAATGCAAAACTGTTCAAAACTGTTGTGTTCAAAGTATTCTGAAATGATAGATCAGAAAATGGAGATTCATTCAATTCCCTCTTCATTTAGTAAAATTATTTCATTAGGCTTTAAATGTACTAGTTGCTGCTACATTAGTAGTACATATGTAGATGCATTGGCCCAGGAAAAGGAAAACTGCTCTAAGGAAATGTTTGGCCTCTACAAGGTCTCTCCCTTACTCTGGTCAGGGCCATACTTACCTTGAACAGTAACATCATTTCTACTCTTCCCTTTGGCTGCGAAATACTAACCACATTACAGTAAAGGAAATAGGTATTTGATCCCCTGCTGATTTTGATTGTTTGCCCACTCACAAATAAAATAATCAGTCTAAAAATCGAATGGTAGGTGTATTGTAACACTGAGAGACAGAATAGCAACACAAAATTCAAAAGAAATGCATGTCTAAGAAATTATAAACTGATATGAATGTTCATGAGCGAAATAAGTATTTGATCCCCTTCATAAAACATGACTTAGTACTTGGTGGCAAATCCCTTGTTGGCAACCACAGAGGTCAGACGTTTTCTGTAGTTGGCCACCAGGTTTGCACACATCTCAGGAGGGATTTTGGCCCACTCCTCTTGGCAGATCCTCTCCAAATCATTAAGGTTTGGTGGGTGAAGTTTGGCAACTCGAAATTTCAGCTCCCACCACAGATTTTCAATTGGATTAAGGCCTGGAGACTGGGTAGGCCACTCCAGGACCTTAATGTGCTTTTGGGTCATTGTCATGCTGGAACACCCATCCACGACCCATTTTCAATGCCCTGGCTGAGGGAAGAAGGTTCTCACCCAAGATTTGATGGTACATTGCCCTGACCATCGTCTCTTTGATGCTGTGCAGTTGTTCTGTCACCTTAGTAGAAACACACCCCCAAAGCAGAATGTTTCCACCATCATGTTTGACAGTAGGGATGGTGTTCTTGGGGGGTCATAGGCAGCATTTGTCCTCCTCCAAACACAGCGAGTTGAGTTGATGCCAAAGAGCTCGAATTTGGTCTCATCTGACCACAACACTCTCAACCAGTCCTCCTCTGCATCATTCAGATGTTCAGTAGCAAACTACAGATGAGCCTGGACATGTGCTTTCTTGAGCAGAGGGACCTTGCGGGCACTGCAGGATTTCAATCCTTGTCGGCGTAGTGTGTTACCATTTGTTTTCTTGGTGACTGTGGTCCCAGCTGCCTGGAGATCATTGACAAGATCCTCACATGTAGTTCTGGGATGATTCCTCACTGTTCTCATGATCATTGACACTCCACGAGGTGAGATCTTGCATGGTGCACCAGACCTAGGGAGACTGACAGTTGTTTTGTGTTTCTTCCATTTGTGAATGATTGAACCAAGTGTTGTCACCTTCTCACAAGCTGCTTGGAGATAGTTTGGTAGCCCCGTCCAGCCTTGTGCAGGTCTACAATCTTGTCCCTAAGATCCTTGGACAGCTCTTTGGTCTTTGCCATGGTGGAGAGTTTGGAATCTGATTGTTTGATTGCTCCTGTGGACAGGTGTCTTTTATACAGGTAACAAAATCAAATTAGCAGCACTCCCTTTAAGAGACTGCTTCTAATCTCAGCTTGTTACCTGTATGAAAGACACCTGGTAGCCAGAAATCCTGCTGAATGATGGGGGATCAAATACTTATTTCCCTCATGAACATGCAAATCAGTGCATAATTTGTTAGACATGCATTTCTTTTGAATTTTTTGTTGCTATTCTGTCTCTCAGTGTTACAATACACCTACCATTCGATTTTTAGACCGATCATTTCTTTGTGAGTGGGCAAACATTCAAAATCAGCAGGGGATCAAATACTTATTTCCTTCACTGTATGTGAGTCTATGGGTTCTAATACCACTTCCAGTGTCACAGCCACAGGATGGAAGAGGACCTCTGCTGTAAAAAAAAAGAAAAGAATGTAACCAAGCTAGAAGAACAGACCCCTAAGCAGTAATCATGTTGTTGATGGAGTGGGAACTATGGCTTGCTAATTTTTCTGTATGTCTGGGGTTTTTCTTAAGGGTAACTGATATGAGGAAAAAAAAGATTACTGGTTAGGAAAATGAAACAGCTGAAATCTGGTTCAAGGAGGAAAAATTAAAGCGGCGTTCCACTCACACTGTAAAACAATAAAAGTCAGGATCTACAAAAACTGTAGCTGCTGACTTTTAAAAAAGCCACTCACCTGTCCCACGAACCCGCGGTGTCCTCCCCACAGCCCGTTTCACCGGCCGTCCTGTGTTTCAGGCGCCGGCATCTTCAGTGTGGGCACTGAAGACTACGGGGAGGGAGGGTAGGAGGACAACGTCCGCTTATGATCACCTAGGCAATCGCAGCAGAAGTGGGAGTGGGTACCAGTCAATTTCAGGTACCTGCTCCCCAAAGGTGCCAATCCTTAATGGGGAGCGGGGGACCAGTTTTTAAAGTGGAACTTCCCTTTTTGGGTGGAACTCCGCTTTAAGGCTTTAGTCACACTGGTGTGGTGACCAGCATTTTACTGCATTGTAAAACGTTGGTTACTGCAAGGACACCTAGAAAACAATTCTGCTGCAGCAAGCTGAGATGAAAAGCAGACATGCTGCATTTTATTGCAATGCACTGTGCAGAATCGCATGTCACTGTAAAGCAGCACAGCGTTGCTGTACAGTGACATGAGTGAAGTATACTTTTGTACAGTTCAGATAAAGTTGAGTGGAAGGGGAACATGTCTGCACTGAATCACACACCACACCGCTCTCTACCACAGCCAGAAAGGGCATCTGCCGCAGAAGAAACCACTGTGGTTTATCTCCCCGGCAGCTGTACATTGTGTGTGAACCAGTCCTAACCAATGCTATCATAAAGCAAAGGAAGAGATGAATGAGGAAAAGGCAACAAAATATTGAGAAAAGAAATGGGAACTGGAAGACAATGCATGTGGGAAAACTAGAAACACATGCGTTATGCAGTACAGTGCTGTGCTCAGGGGACATTAATAGAAAAGTACAGACATAGGCACATAATGGCCTTTGTTCAAAACATTTGATATAACAGGGTTATCAAAATCCTGGCTTAAAAAAGACACAAACTAAACTTTAACTTAAATTATAAAAGCAGAAGTTCTGCTAACGTTAGCAAAAACAAGATTGTACAAGTGTAAAGAGACACTGTTCAATTGTTCCCTTGTTTACAATGTTTTACTCTCTTTTCTAAATGAATGGCTTCATTATTGCAGCTTCTGGCTTGTATCAAGAGCCAATGTTTTATACACAGTTGTACAATTAGTAAATATTTTCCACATCGGTAAATCATATCTAAACCCAATAACAAAACATGTAATCTACTGCATCTCACAAGTTCCTTTGTGTTGTGCCTGGCTTAGTTTACTTTTCCAGGATTTTTCCTTTTTTTCTACTTGGTAATCTAACAAGTATCACACCTCCAGTTTTACAGCAACAACAATCAATCACCATACTGTATCTATAAAGCTACAGCATTGTCATCCTAGGACAGGACTGCTCCTCACCATCACCTCTTTTCCACAACATAGGGATAACAAATCTGTAGTCAAAAGATAAAGCTTAAACCAATGTAACCAACAACAGTCAGTAAAGTCGGGGTGCATGTATGAAGTTAAAGGTCCCACACACACAGCCATATGAATGTATACTCTAAATAAGATACTAGAAGTTGGTTGGTCACCTAAGATAACACGGAAGTGCGTTTAAAGGCATTAAACAAAATGCTGGACACCTGTATAACCAGCATTTTTTTTTTGCATAAGCTGAAAGCTCACTAGATTTCTAGCAGGATCAATAGGTATTGTGAGGATATAAATGCACTTTACCATTTTAGCAATAAGGGTTATTTAATAATATGTAGCATAGAAATAGTATAGCACAGCATTTAATTTAATTATAATATGCATCTGGAAATAACACACCATATATACATACATATATATATATATATATATATATATATATATATATATATATACATATACACAGAAACAGATTTGAGGATCTGAGATCTTCAAGCCCGCTAGGCTGACTTTAGCATCCATCAGGGGCTGTCAACTCAACTGCACTCATTTTTATGATGAACGGTGGCTAATGCATGGCACATAACATGGCAGTGCAAATCTACACATCAGTAGACCAAAAGGAGAATCGTTTTGGCAGATAAAGCTAGTCAGGATTCTCATTTTCTTGTGATTTGACCGGGTCAATCTTGCTACACAGGAAGCAAAGACTGACTCTTCCCCTGAAATGTATTACTGACTAAAATATATTATACCATAGCACCAGTAACACAAATAAAATGTTATTTGGGATGCTTCAAACGTCACATATCATCAGGGCTGCTGTTAGAAACCACGGGGCCCCATACAGCTGACCTGACAGGGCCCCCTCCAAAAAAAAAAAAAACCCCAGGTTTCGTTGCTTCAGTTGTGAATGAACACAGTGAGTGATCAGTACCGATCACTCATTGTGCCCATTCAGGAAAGAAAGGGGCTGGTAAATGTGACATATTTATTGAACCCTTCCCCCACTCTCCATCCTAGAGGATCCTACTGTGTGCAGGAGGGAATAAGAGGAGGGAAGCTGGCAGCACTGTGGGGGTGGGAGCACACAAGGGGGGCCTGGGCAGAAGGGGGAAACATATGATGCACAGGGAGGATGATGAGTGCGGTGAGGAGCAGTTACTGGAACCGATCCTCTGTATGACCATCTCTTCAGCTGCTAGGAGGAAGAGGAGAGGAATCCAGCTTTCAGCTGCTGCAGGAAGAGCCATACAGGAGATTGGTTCCAGTATGTCATGCTGATCACCCTCCCTGCCCACATCCAATTCACCCAGCTGCCTGGGCCCCCTTGCTGGTCTTGGCCATACAGGAGGACTGGTGGTACCCCTTATCCACAGCTCTGCATATCGTAATCTGAGGAATTTTGAATCAGCAATAAATTACATTTCCTTGAGTAAAATACAGGACACGGGCTCTTTGATCATTACGACAGGGTAATATGCAGCTACCTTTAGTTAACTGGACACTGCCAAAAAAGGAAGACTGCAGGGACACCCTCTATATAACTCTCCCCACTCCCAGCTAGTCTCAGTATCGTACAAGAAATATTCTCGTGCTTGCCCCTTTAAATGATTTCGGACAAAAGCCGTGTACTAACAATCAGATTATCGTATGGTCGCTTCAAAAGCGGTATTTTTCGTACTGTTTTCTGATCGTGTGTACTAGGCTTAAAGGTTACAGTAGCTGAGAGGTAAAATCTCACAGCGTGCACCTATTCTAAACAGGGGAGATAAATCTCCTTAGGAATTCCTAAGTTTTGTAGCAGGTCATAAAGAGGGAAGGACAATGTTCTGCTTAAGGTAGAAAGCAGAGATCACTTTAAGGAAGGAGGAGGCCTTAGGCCTCAAAGACTACCATGTCCTTTTGCAAAACTAGGAAAGGTTCCTTACAGGATGAGGCATCTAACTTAGTGGCTCTCTGAGGTGATAGCAACATGAGATGCCAAGTTCCCAAGGGTTCCATGGACAGGCAAGAAACCTGTGCAATTGGTTGTTGAATCTGAAAGCCAAAAAATCCACATCTGGCACTCCCCACCTCTGGAAAAGGGCTTGAAAAACCTCTGGATGGAAAGCCCATCCCATCTATCCAGATGCTAGTGACTGAGAAAGTTTGCCTGACAATTTTCCACTCCTGGAATGTGGACATCAGACAGGGCTGGTCTGTGAACTTCTGTTCAAGAGAGGATCAAGTCTGCTTTCCTTTAAGCGGCGTGACTTTTGGTGCCTCCTTGATGATCAATATACACCACCAGCTGTACTGTTGTCTGACTGGATTCTCAAAAGGTGTCCTCACAATCTACAGTCTAGTGTTGAAGGAGCATCAGAATCTCCCTGAGTTCTACAATGGCAAATTGGTAATGCTGATCACCCACAGCAAAGCATAGATGGCTTTGGTGAGATGTAAGTAAGCATCCTGAATGTTTAGAGGTGGTAGAAAATCTCCAGAAGTAGGACAGCTTTGATCAACCTAGCGTTTTCCATGCTGAATTTTTGACCTCGTAGGAACAAGTATATAATCCTCTGCTGGATTTAGGAACCATAAAAAGGTTTGAATAGAAACTTTGAAAGTGTTCTTAAGGTGGTATAACGGTAATGACCATTGAGAAAAAAGCTGCAAGACAGCAACAGGCAGCTCCACCCACCGGGACAGAAAAGGAGATGAATTTGATAGTGTGAAGCAGAAAGGAGGCAGAGTGCGAACCTCCATTTTGTAGCCCTTGAAAATTACACTATGGATCCAGGCTTCAGAGATTTTCTGAGATCAGAAGGCTAATAGACATCCACCCACTTTTAGAAAGGCATTTCTTACATGTGAGTTATGCTGACCAGCATTTAAAGTATAACTAAAGGCGTTTTTTAGTTTTGGATAGAGTGGAGATGGATTAGAACACCTTTTAGGTTTTTAGTGCAGTCTGTGTCCCTGTTAGGGAGATTCACCCTCTCTGTTTGTCATGTTTACCATTATCAATTAAATTCTTTATTGAAAGTGAAAGAAAATCCCAAATTTTGGGTTGTCCCCAGAAAAATAAAAGAGGGGGCATTTTCCAATGGGGAAACTAGTTCTGGTGACCTGGAGATCCCCAAAGAACTCCCTTAATTTTCAGGGATTTCCTCTCACTCCCTGTTTTGGCTGTGGACAGAAAGTGAATCTCCAATGGGACACTAATGGCAAAAAATAAACTGACAGCGATTATAACCCTCCCTTACTCTATCCAAAATGAAAAAAAAAAATTTGCCAATACGTTAGGCAAAAAAGTTTAGCCAATACTTTACTTAAAGTCAAACAATCCTGTGAATGTGAATGGAGAGACAATGTACAGTATATTGGAGGTTTGACGAAGTGTATCTTCCAGGCCATTCAAGCAGCAGTGTGAGACCATAGGTGACAGGGTCTGTAGACACAGGCATGCATTAGGATGAAATAAGGATTTTGGACCATGCACTTATTGTTGACAGCAATGATCTGGCAGACTGTGATAGAAGCAATCCCTTTTCCTTGGTGGGCATAGCATGGCCCACCAAGGAAAAGGGATCTAAAAGGTCTTTAATCTTTTGTCTATTGGGTCGCTGAACTTAGAAGTATAAGCCAAGGTGGCTTTGAGGGTCTTATTCAGACAAGCATTGTCAGTATCTACCACAGTAACACAGTTATGTAGGAAATTTTCCTCAGGGTGATTCTGATGGGTGAAGCATTTTGGAAGAGTAAAGGACATCTACAGTCAGACCTCATACAGGACAAGTTCAACCAGTAGGTAGACCATGAAAATCTTTGCTGGTTTAGGTAATTAAAGGGATCCCATATTGGCTACTGTAGGGTGAGAACATACTAGAGCATATATCATCAATAAGAGTAGCTACAGTATCTTGCTTGTCATCCTACTGTGATTCCTCAGGAAAGGGATGATGCTCAAGCTCCACCTCCTCCTCAGGTAATGCGCTTGACTCAAGGGCAAAATCAAAGACTGATTCAGGAGGGGAGAATGAAAGGGGCACAGCTATGACTTCTGCTGTCTATGGCCCCAATAGGCCAGAAATTCTGCCCATGAAACTTGACATTTTGTTACAAAATTCTTCCCTAGATATAAAACAGGAAGCTGCTGTGACAGATGACCCAGCAGAATGGCCAGATGAAGGAAAGATGTCAGAGTGGGGGAAACCATCAGAGAAAAGAGTATTAGAACCCTGAATGGGTATAATACAACTTCCTAATGGAGCTAAAAGCTAAGCCTGAGCTAGCAAGTCCATCTGACCCATTTTTCCTGCACCTATAATCTACCATGCTTGTGAATATCACCCCTAAAAGGGTACTCACGATCTATACAGAAGTAGAGTGGAAGGGGAAATGCCTCGATGCCAAGCAATTACAGGCTGCAGTAAACCAGGTAGCATGGTAATAGCTGCTATATTGTACCTCAGGAGAGGGCCAGGAGAGGTCTAAAGTACTGCCTGCAGAGAGGAAGAGGCAGGGTGCACAGCTACAGAAACCCCAATGAAAATGAGATGGTGCAGGTGCAAAACAGCCTCTGGCTGTGCAGGCACAGTGTGTGCCTTGTTCCCGTACTAGGTGCATCTCAGGGCGATAAACACAGGTGCGCTGCAACAGGTATGCTACTGGATTACAGTTGGTTCAAATTAACTCTGGCACTCACAGCTCACTGCTGTGACCACCAGAAAGGCAAGAGTAACAATAAACTAACCCCATCCTGGCTTCATCCACCACACCACTGCAAGGGTCTTCAAAGCCAAGGCTAGACCACAGTTCTGGACCTCTAAAAGTGACTAACAGCATCCACTGCACTACATGCTACGGCAACCACCCACAGCAGGATGAAGTGCATGGAAGCATCATTAAAGGCCAGCATGAGGAGCTGCAGTGGCTACGTTGTGTAAGAAATTGTGACTGAAGAATCATCTTGGTAGATCATTATCTAAGCTTTTATTTAGTAGAAAGAATAGGTCCTAAAGACACTAGCAAACACTGAGGCTAGCTGGGAGTGGTAATAAAGGAGGACATTTTTGCAGCCTTCTCTATTTGCCAGTGTCCAGTCTCCTGAAGGTAGCTACATTTAATCCAGTCGCAATAATTAAAAAGCTTGTGTTCTGCCCTGTAAAGACTTTAGTTGAATAACTAAGCAGCAACTAAAGAGGTATTAAACCCAAACCCAAATATACAATATATATATTGCAGCTTACCAAATCATTAAATGTGGTGGCAGGAATTATACTGCTTTAAGACAACTTGAAAGGCTTCTGCATCAGAATAATGGGGAAATGCATACGTGGCACCCAAATTCTGACATTATTTGCAAATAAACAAGTTAGTCTTCTAAATGAGTACTGTAAATGATATTCAAAGAAAATGGTCACTGGGCCGAAGGTACACTGCTAAAGACTGACAAGCGAATAAAATGTGGTTCTTGCCATGAACTATTTCTTCCCCTGATTGGAAATGGCTGCTCAGCATGTTATTTAAATAAAAAGTTCATATAAACTTAGATATAACTATGTGATTTACTTACCAAAACCAGCAATATCTAAAACTCCAATGAAGCAAGAGGACCTCTCAAATGGAAAGCATTGGTTTACTCGGTTAACCACATGATCAAAAAGTCGGCTATATACTGCTTTTGCCAGAGCATCACGGGCATTATTTGCCTGCTCTACTTTCAGAGGCACCCTAAAACAAAGACAGTTTGGACATTAGTCATTTACTCAAAAAAACATTTTAGGTTTAGTGCATAACTAGAGAAAAAAAGAAAGGACACAAGGAAATGTATCCTCCCAAGAACAGACATTTTTTTCCAGCCAACATTTGATTAAAATAAAATCCCAATACCAGTTTGCAACTATATTATTTAATAATTTCACAACATATTTAACAACACTTCACAAAATACCATTTATGTCAATCTATGACGCAAAGGTAAATGCAAGGCAAATAAAGTTTCAATTTGGTATTGGGTGCTAATGGTTAAGCCCCTATACTGTTCACTAATGTGAACATAAATCACCTTTTCAATAAAACAAATGGGATAATAACGAATTAGAAATTAGCACCAACTTAGAAACTCAGTTTTGAAATTTCAGAAATTATTCTACTAAAGTGAAATAATCAAATACACATACTGGCTCATTACATCAGTGTTTATAGAGGTATACATAAAAGCTGCCATAACCCAAACAGACATAAATATTCATGAGCAATCATTAATCTGAACATCCCATTTCCAAAGAATGTATTCTTCACTCGCAATGCCTATAGGATCATGATTGGAGAGGTTTGCCAACAGATTAAGCCTCGAATCTGGCCAGTAAAAATGGGACTTGTTGCCAACGTTGTTAATAGGAAACAGATCATAAGGCTGTTATTTTTTACTAGAAGATGGGTCAGCCATGCCATAAACACATGCTGGTGTCTGAAGGATTACACATATTGCAGTCTACTAGACCTTACTATGGTACGTTGACTTTTGCTGTGGCAGGGTGGTACAGAAACAATATTTATTATTCTAAAACTTGCTTATTTTTAAAAAAAATCACCTTTTATGTATTTGCCATATCTGGTATGTCTAGTACTCTATGGCTTTACACTTCTAATGCATAAACATTTTTAGCTAAAAATGTTTATGCATTAGAAGTGTAAAAGTCAAAGAGCACTGGAGTGGAATTTAAAATACAGCCCCTTATAGCAAACACAGACATTATATTTAATACAGAAATATAATTTAATACAGAAATCAACGTTGCCTCATAAAATGGACTGCATGCTGGTACAGTATGTGATGAAAGGAATACTGGTTATTTCTTTACAGAATATAATGAGAGTGCATGCTCATGACAAAAAGAGAATCAGCCAGTTATTACCGGACCTCTCGACCTCATAGACCCAGATGTGGTGTGCATTTGCTGTAGTTATGTATGATGCAAACATTCTGGTTACATTGCAATTCACGCTACAGCTGTATTGATCAGTTCCAGCCCTCAAGGGTCACCAGCAGTGAATATTTTTAGTTCTATCTGAAACCTCGTTGAGGAAATTATTAGTACTTGGTGTTAACCAGCTTTCTGCTATATGTTGCTGGGACTCTACCAGAGAGCATTAGAAAAAAAACAAAACAGCACTGCTGTAAACCCTGGAAAAATGGTGTGTCGGTATACTATTATAAAAAAAGCAATATGGAGGTTAATGCAAGCTGCTTTGGGCATCTTTCTGAGCCAGGTATACTTGATGCGTATAGAATAAATGCACAAGCCTCAAAGCTGCACAGTACCAAATGTATTTTTATGAAATACCATCACTGACTATTAAACTGCCACATTATAGGATATTTATATGCAAGATGTTTTAGGCTGCACAGACTGTTACAGCACTAATCATTTAAGATTAATATCTTTCTGACATGCATTTTAGATATGAAAAGATAAAACAGCAAAAGAAGCTATACTCCCTGTATTTACAGATATTTATACAGATAATGTCAAAATGTTATGCAGGCACAAAATCTAACAATGGTTATACATTTTTGTTTATTTATTTTTTTACTGCCAGTAGCAGTATATGCCCCAATTTATAAATAGTTATCTCTCCATTAATTATAACCGCTGTATACATGAACACTGGAATACAAAAGAGATGTTGGCAATGTGACTGACAACTCCTACAGAGACTGTACATTCCTGAACTGTGCAGGTTATGTAATACTCAGACTACTGAATTAATGGATTGATAACACTTAGGCCTCATGCACACTACAGCTCAAAAACGCCTGTTTTTTTTTTTTTTTTTTTGTTTTTTTTTAGACGTTAGACGCTTTTTTTTTTTCAGCCCCTCCATGTTAGCCTATGTGTCCATGAACACAGAGGCATTTACATGCGTTTAGAGGCAGAAAAAGAACACATCACATTCAGGAGAGGAGCATTTTGGCACAAAAAAAAAATGCAGTTTCCTAAACAAGAGTGAATGCGTCTAAACACACTAGATGTGTTTAGTGCTTGAATGTTAATTCAATGGCCAGAAGTAATATTCTGGTTAATGAAATTAATAAAAGCCCAGGAGCTTGACGCACCAAAACGTGCTTGCAAAAAATGTAGGCTCATTTTTGAAGCTGCTTTTTCTCCCGCCATGAGAACAAACACCCAGTGTGCATGGGGCCTTATGTTACAGATGAGAAAAGTACTCAACAGTATTAATATGTAAGCTCCCCACGTAATTTGGTAGACATTTTAAAGGTACCAGAGGCCTTTAAAGTGGAACTGCACTGCATCTAAGCACCACAAACCAAAAATGCTTTTTAATTCATTGTTAATATTCAAAGCAGACTCCCCCATCCATCCCAGTCTCTATGCTTTATTTTGCTGAAAAATTTGAAAAACACCCCTGGCATTTCTGGCATTGGCCATCTTGAACAAGGGCAGATGATTCATGTAGCATCTGCCCTTAGCTCAGACATTGGCTGAGCTGAGAACCCTTTCTCCCCTCCTGAAGACTCCTTGGATGTGTGACATAATTTGCTTAGGCATGGAAACTAGGATGTAACTGAAGAAATGTTAAAAAAAAAAAAAGTTTAAAACAAATAAATTATATGCTTTCCTATCCATTTACTAGTGCTGGCAGTAAAAGGATTAAAAAAAATAATCCCCTAGCCTGTTCCACTTTAAACAGGCTAGTGACTCAATCATATTTCTGTCATAAACACCCATAATTTCTGTATGCACAGGCATGCATTTATAAAAAAAAAAAAAAAAAATATGGAGCTATTCATCCTGCGAAACTGCATGTACTGTACAGGCATTCAGCATACATGCTGGCAAAATGAAATGTCGCTAGGCTATTTTCTCTCCAGGTTGGATGTTCTTCATTCAAAAGACTAGTATTAAATCAGGAAAATACAGTATTATGGCCACTAAATGAAGCCAACAATCATAGAAAATAAGTTTATTTATTAATAATATTATTAAATAAAAAAAATGATTTATTTCCTCATCATCAGCTACATCTAGTAGCCATAATGCAGTTGTTTCCTGATTCTCACTATTCTTATGACCGAAGAACATCCAACCTGGAGAAAAAAAAATAGCCCAACAACATTAGATTCTGCTGGTATCCACAAGGTATTCACAAGGAGCAAATGTAAATGCAGTTTCACAGGACAAATGGCTCTTCAACTTTTGTACATAACCCCAAAATTTCTATACAAGAACAAGTAAATTGGATGTCTTCAGTTCTTAGAATATAAAAAGTACAGAAATACAGGAGCACCAGACCAAAACCAGATAAAACAGTCGCAGATAATTTTAATTGTTGGTAAGAAAATGTCACAAAAATAGAATTTTTTTTTTTTTTTTTTCTACCAACAATTAAAATTATCTTGGACTCTCTTATCTGGTTTTGGTCTGGTGCTCCTTTCTGTATTTCTATAGTTTGAGCTACTGTTGGGTGCCCATCGAGGAAAGCCTTGGTGTGTGGGGGCCACTTTGCCAGAGCTATTGAGCATGTTTGAAGTTTTCCTTCATCTCACTAAACATGCAGGTCTAAAATGTTCCCCAGTGTCTCCAAGTATGTTGTTCTGGAGTCTATGAATATAAAAAGCTCCTGTCAATAGAAAAACACGTATCATAGATTAACGCATTATTTTTCTATTCGGTATAAGATATCTGATGCTTAGTGAAGTCTGCTGTCTCAACCTGTAATCAATGAATGCTTTCCAAATCTTCAAAGAAAAAGACATTTGTAAGCAGTCTGTCAGGACAATGTCACATTTTTAGTCACACAAACACTAGTACACAAACCAATAATAATTAAAAAGTGTCTGAGAGAAACTTTGCCTCAACTGGAGTGCCTCCAAATCAGCTATTAACCCACTTGACACCAAGGCCAATTCTGACACTTCTCACATACATGTAAACATCAGCTTTTGTTTTATTTTACTTTTCCAATTGAAAATTACTTAGAACTGCCAAACATTAAATATTTTTTGAAAGCAGAAACCCTGAAGAATAGAGCGGTGGCCATTGCAATTTTTTATGTCACATGACGTTTGTGCAGCCATTTGTAAAGTGCAAATTTTTAGCAAAAAAAAAACACTTTAATGAATTTTAATGCACACAAACAAAATATAATATTCATTCTTTGGTAAAATATTAATGATGATGTTATGTTAAGTAAGTAGATACCTTGCATACACCTGTGGATTGGCAACAAACTATGGTACCTAAAACTCTCCATAGGCATTGCTTTAAAAGCCTTCACATGCTACCATTGTAAAGTTAAACAGGAAGTCTTGTGTTAGAAATACTGCACTCACTTTGACCTTCGACTTGTACATTAGTACGAGGGAGGGTGGGGGGGAATGGGGCCCTTTTTTTTATTGGTGATAATGGTTCAATCATTTTTATTGAGTTTTCAGGACAGAACAAAATGAGCACCAAATTCGCCCACACAAGGGCTACGAAAACAAGCATTCCATAGTAGGAAACATAATTTTTTTGTTAACTTTATTATTTATTTTATTTAAAACTTTGGTTTACACTGTCCCTTTGTTTTTTGGTTTTTTTTTTAATTATCTGTATTGCTATCTCACGGGATGAACTAAATCCCTTGCGACAGCATGGGCCTTGACAAATCCTCTTTAGGGAAAGATCTGGGGTCTATTAGACCTCATATCTCTTCTCTGACCTCAAAA